GAAGGTTGGTTGCGCAACAGCAACACCGCCGAGGGAATGGTGGCCGTCCAGATCAGAATGAGAGCGCCTCCAAACTCCAGCTTCTGCAAATTCCCCGCATCATTGCCTTGGAACGTATGTAGAATACGATAGTCGAGACTTAAGCAGTACCAGACGATGACACCCGCGCAGAAGACGAGCACCGACATCGCGACTAAGATCTCTGTTGGGGATGAGGGGAAGTGGAAGAGTAAGAAATGGATCGTAAAGAGGTAAAAGTAGAAAAGTCCAAAGACATTAATGATGGAGAGGACTATACAGTCGCGCATAGACTGAGCGTCAGGGCCGGCCATTGTACTCGAATTGTCGATCGATTGGAGAGTTTCGTGTATTCTCATGGGTCTAGCCGGACTATTTAACTGCGAATCACGAATGGAGATGTTGAAGCAGGCAATCAATTTTCGTGGCCGGACGGAGTGACTGCAGGTGTGTGTCTATAGTATGACTTGATGGTGAGAGAGTGCGTATCATTATTGACGGGATTAGGCCAGGTGGATAGCTTAGGGAGGGTGGTTTAGAGAGGGTGGTTTAGAGAGGGTGGTTTAGAGAGGGTGGTTTAGAGAGGGTGGTTTAGAGAGGGTGGTTTAGAGAGGGTGGTTTAGAGAGGGTGGTTTAGAGAGGGTGGTTTAGAGAGGGTGGTTTAGAGAGGGTGGTTTAGAGAGGGTGATTAAATTGAGGTGATAAACGGTTTCCTCACGCAAAATATGAGGTTAGTGCCCATTAACTATATGAAGATAAAACCGGGCTCGAAAATAACATGCCTCACTAACTCCACAGTCATCTAACATATGTCTGACAATCGGGCCTGAGCTGGGTTAAGCACCACATTTCCTCAGTCTCGCGCTGGCGTCTTTAACCCGGCGGTATGCTCTAGCTGGCTGCTGGAGTTTTCAACATTTCGCAACTCAAAACATCAATTACATACTATCGGATCGGATGCAGTCGCTTTGTCCATGAATCATATAATTCCCTCGGTAATCAGCATGCGATAGGTGGTTAAGAATGTGCAGAGTCGGCACTAAAATTCACCTTCTGCGGACAGCGTTTTCTTAGATAAAGAGAATGGCGAAAATAGACGGATTTCCTTGAGATTACTGTAAAAATAAGCATAGCTCTCCCATCTGCAATAAGGTATCGGTTTCAAAGAGGGATTCTGGTTACATCAATATCTAGTTAGGTCTAGATAGCAGTGATTTATCTGGCAGATTTGAGAAAAGTACTTGTGCAAAAGCTGCTGTTGTTTGTCCACCCTTTTGGTTCCTCTCTTAATCGTTTCGTACTAGTCCATATTAGGATGGAGTACATCAAATACAGCAGCAAAAGACTTCGATCAGCCATGTTAAAAAAGCCGCGAAGGAAAATGCTACTGCTAGCCAGGTTGCGGTGAACGAATGAGCCCCCAAACTTGCATCCGCTCCGATGCTCTTTACAGCACTTGTAATCAGCCCGTAGATAACTGTAACGCTGATGGATGCGCCGGTGATAAAGATAGTTGCAGCCTAAGCAATAGTCAGCGTAAAAAGCCCAGAAATTATCTACCAGGGACCTACCAAGGAAGAAATGATAAGCAGTAATTTTCCCCATGAGAAAAAAATTGTAGTGACGCCGAAGACAACAGCCAGGAACGTGGAAGCGATACCCAAGATGTAAGCTGAGATTGACCATCGAGAAACCTCATGGTACCCAGCAAGAACCTTATTATTTTCATCTGGCAGCATATCCTCAATAGTTGGGGAAATTGAACCAAAAATGCTCAGCAAGTCGAAAGAGAAGGAGGTACTTGGCTGTGAGCAATTGGAATAGGACACCGTTTCCTTCTGACCTTGACAATATCCCCAAAGCCCCACAGAGTAGGAACCTGGAAGATGTGACTTGATTTCGTCGGAGAAGGACTGAACCTTAGCAGTAGCTTGGCTCACTGCAGTCTCTGCGGCACCAGAGGCGTAAATGACGGCAGTCGAGGCGCTGCTTACAATGCTGTTCGCCTCATTACTGGCTGTTTTTGAGAGATCGGACGCGTCCACTCCGGCGATACTGAGGGAGCGACGTAGATGAAAGCTCCCAAGTTCCGGGAAATCAGTAAAGTTCACCTGTTGCTCTGACTAAGCTGACCATTCGTTCATTTTGCGGGACTTTGCCTTACCCTTAGGAAATACAATTCATTTGGAGATGAGGTTGATGTGCACCCTACAAAGACGATGACCAGGCAGATCAGTGCCGATGAAGTGAATACCAAAGGAAGTAGCTTTCCTACGTACCAGATCATCTTTTCCTGTCAGGGAAATACCGTCCAGATGGGGTTTGAATGCTATAGCAAGAGCGTCCTTGCTGTAAGACCCCCCCAGAACATGGAAATTATATGCCTTTTTATAAGAAAGCCTTAGCGTAGGAAACTGTAAACGAGTCGCAGATTATAGAAGTATCCATCAAAAACAACCGTTGAAGCACTGCCGCTTTGTTGCGCCGTTCGCGACTGAGAATAGGGAGGGGCCCTCAAGAATTTGTCTGCAGCTACTTTCAGCTTCCTCTCATATATCTAGCCAAAGCGAGAGACCTCGAATTGTACTCTTTACCCCAGAGATATCATTCTCTTGGTCAGCATCGCGTCAGCATGGCAAGAGAAAAGTGAGTAGCATTCTTGGTTATGTACAGATGCGCTCGAAATCAGTTTCACTAATTTGTTCTCTTTGATTGCTTCTCAACATCTATTTTTATTAACGCTAGGCCTAGTATAGCTAGTGGACTTTCATTATCCCTTTCCCATTCGACAGTAATTGATGGGCTAGTCCGCATGTAGACTGAGGTGGGTCTGGCTAAGACTTCAGAAAGAACCAAAGAGAATAACATGGTGAAACTAATTTCGAGCGGACCTGTACGAGCAGGCTAACCAGAGTGAAAAAATTTGTTTACCTCCACTTTCTCTGGGGAAATATGGACCACCACTCACTTTCTGTGTGATTAGAGACATCTCAGCAGCACATCGTATCCATATTGATGTCTGTCTTCAAAATATAAGTCGTGACAGTATATCCAGAGAAAGCGTCTTGTGCCACCAAAGCATTCAAGTAGTCCAGCCCGTTGTGGAAGTCAGCCCCAACCAAACCCTGCTCACTGAATTCAACATGCCGCGCTTCACTCAAGCTCAAGTGGAAGACGATGAGAGCAAGTTATTTGCCTATCGTCAGGAACATTTTAAGATGGCCGCACGTGTTGATATTTCTCGCCTTGTTTTCGACAAAACCTTCAAACGGCAAATGAGCAACCGCCAAAATATTGATCGACTCGAGCGAATTATGAGCACTCAGGGGTGCCACCGTCTCATGGAGGAGTGTCATGTTCCAGTGCTGGTTTCTGCAAGAGATTGGGAAAGTCGTGTTAGACCACGGACGGTAGATGGCCAGTTTCAACAACTGGACGTGGATATCGACTACGAGCTGCGAGGATTGGACCACGAAAGTTTGATTATTGCTGCCCGGAATAGGCTCCGCCCTAGCAACCAATGGTGGATTGTGGATGTATACGTAACGGAGCCAATAGGTTCGTCGCTAAGTTTATCTGTACCTCAACTTTACTATATCTGACTGTTTGGAAGCTAGTGAGCAGCCTTTGCAGAAGGAATTTATTCGCTCGCTCCAGGAGCGCTTTCCGAATGATCACAGACCTTCAGATGGACTGATATATCAACGAATTCGATATTATGAAGGATACCTTGATGGCCCTATAAACACCAATGCAGCAAATCAATGGTGGGCTACCCTGGAAAGGGTTTCTGGGAGCAAGAAGAGCAAATACCTGCGAGCCTTTCTCAAGCATCCAACCCTACCTCAAGCCTTTGATGAGCTGCTTCCCATCGCGGGTATTTGGGAAGGCATGAAGATCGGGGTACTCCATAAGCTGGTGGCAATGCGGTGTGATGAGGTAAGTTTTGAGACCAGTATCACCACCTGAGGCTCATGGCCAGCTGACTGACTGACTACCCCAGCCAGTTCTATGTTATCTGGCCCATATCAAGAGAACATTCACCAGCTTGGTGGGGCACCGGTATGACCTTCTGGCACGATTAGATGGAGTCACCATCCAATTCTTAACGTCTCGTGTACCCAAGATCTCTGTCCGGGACTTGAAATTTCTAGAAGTTCGCATGTCAAAAGAAGAGCTCTTCCCTGATATTGATAATGATCAGGACCGCGCTGAAATTTGGGAACGGTTGAAGAACATTGATTACCCTATTCCGACTTTGGAGACATTCTTCCAAGACAGGCTCATACTTGAGGTCGGCCGGAGTGTACTGCAACGAATTTGCATACCTGATCCTCAGCGAAAGCTCACGATCGACGAGGGACTCGGCGAGCAATATGATACTGCCGTTCCTGTCCTGACTTCAGATCGACAGTATCGGATTCGACGTGAGCTTTTTGAGTTTTGGCGTTTCAGCTTTCAGTACGGATTTGATATGACGAATCATCAGCGCCGAATACCGCGAACAGAATCTCGAATCCAACGCACAGCGGTACTGGGATCGACAGAAAGTCAGAATACGCCCGATAGGTTGAATCTCTGGCAACATCTATTCTGGTTGGCCAGTGAAAGCCGATTTCGCACTCCTTCTGTGGATGGGACCAGTGGTCATCCAGCTGAACTACCTCCCCTCATACAATGTGACTATCCCGAAAGTGTCGAAGAGGAGCTACCGGTAGAGCGAAGGTGTGGGAAGCCATATGCGGATTCTGTGGATGCAGACCGTTTTGCACTCTCACGGGAGGCATTGGAACGCCCTCGGGAAGAATCCCGAGTCACTTCAGGATTTGCTCAACGATCGGTTTTTTTGGCCTTTTTCCGTTATCTCAAAGATGATCCTGAAAGCTACTCATTTACAAGAAATTCTCCAGAAGTGAGCAATACTACTACGACTGGAATTTTTACAGGAGTAATTAATCCGGACGAGAGGATACCAAGTCCAGTTACCGCGCCGCAAGAGAGCACCATGCCTTCGCCCCCCGCTTTGAATACCCCAC